TGTGTTATTGTGTTTTTAAAAGCAAAACGTAAACGTCTGTTTCAAATGAAATATGGATAACTTCAAGTTCAATTTTCTCTCGCGGGGTCAGCTTGAGAGCTAAAGTCTGGATAAGTTCTTCTTAACTGTGTTAAAAATAATACTATGCCATGAGGTTTTTTGCTAGCTTAACTTTTGCCATTATTGCTCGAATGTTCTGCGGAAATCATCTTAATTATGTTGTTGGTCTAGGTTTGTTTTTTTCTTTATTAATCCCCGTACAGCCACATGTTCTAAGAGATCAAATACTAACAAGCAATTACAATGGGACATGATATTACAGCTAGACGTTTTTAACTACTGTATACCATCTTCATCAAGATGGGGCTTTCGTTATTTAAAAACATTGCAAGAGACATTATGCTTCAGGATGCAATGAATTAGTCAAGCAAATCTGGTCAGAAAATTATCAATTGAAAGAAAAACAAGGATACTGCAAGGACCGCAGTCTCCGCAAGCGTCGACGCCATCTTGCCTGGCACTACGGGATAATACTAAAACGAGAAACTTGGCTAAAGAATCCATATTATCCAAGCTTCAGGTAGCTTGAAGGACAAGTCGAAACTGGTACCCTAGCCTGGGGCGGTTTCATGAATAGTTTCTTTGTTTGGAAAAGGGAAAAAACCCACTTAAGAGCAACTATTTATAAGTATGAAAAGGGAAGCATGCATCCATGTCAACGATGGGTTTTTAAACTGTGTTTTCAAAACTTGCGAGTATATAAATACACCATTAAGTAGATTACGTTTTAAATGTGTTCAATTCTAAATATGTACCTTTGAAAGGATAAAATCTTGATTTGGTGTGGATGTTGTAATCATATTGCGTTGTAATCATATTGCGTTTCCCTGAGATAGCTCATTAAAGCTTTTGTTAAATTTGCATATAACAGTAGTTTAAATCTTCGAATAATCAGGGCTGTTCACGTGATTAGCGCGACAGAACTTCAAGTTGCAAACCAGTGTTATTGGAAAAGTTCTCATAGCAATTTCAGTAAGTACGATACTAGATTCTTTTTAAACGGGTTTCATGTGTGTATTGTGTATCATGTTAGTATCTAGCTCTCAAAACAAATTCCGTTCTGCGCATTTTAGTACTTGCTTCCAACTGATTATCTTTCGTCGTGCAACAGAGACGTTTCAAATTGCAAGCTGCACTTGCATCTATGCAACCTAACAAATCTGTTCTTAGTTGGTATTCTCCGCTCCAGTTGCAACCCATTGCAGGTTCACAATAACGCAACCAAACCTGTTTTAAAATCACTTCTCAATAGCGACATTCTTGTAGGGAAGGCAACAGTTTGAATATGCACCATCGCATTGTTCATCACAGAGGACAGAAAATGCATTTTGCTTTATAATGGACCACATGATTTTCAGTTCTAAAATGGCTAACCAAGCATTCAAAGGCGTGCAGTGCCCCAGAGAAAATAATGAAAGAAAAATGCTTTTTTCAAAAATTACTCAGTTTATGACGATGACAGAGCACGCAATCGGCCTAAACAACCTCTGATGTTAATTAAGAGAACTTTTAACAAGTTGCAAACGGTCATGTGTGAAATCAATTTCTTTACAAATATCAAGCCTCGAAAATGTCACTAAATTAAACGTCTTCCCTAATTCCCCACTTTTACCTCACGCTGAATCTCAATTGCGTAACGATCTTGGAAATAAAGCATGTTTGTCGAGCTGTAGCTCCACGGGATTATCAAGGCTATTTTCACAATCGTGTAAAGACATATTTGTTGTAAAAAGTCAGGCTGTCTCGCCAGAGTAATGAAACCAGCTTCTGAGTGATATTTATATTTTCCTTACCTTCAATTTACCGACAGCAGGTCCGGGTCTGTTTCATCATGATTACTTCATTGTTGGGGATACGACTAATTTTCTTGCGTGTACTGCTTACACACTGTCTGCGTAGAGGACATCGAATCACTTCGACAGAAGCTTTTACACAACAAAAGCAACTTTTTCTCAATTTACTGTGAATAATTTATTGCACTGGACGGATCTCTATGCCGTTAGTTTATGCGCAGGAATATCATTAATTTGCTTTCTGTGTTTTCTAGCATCATTGCTGAAACGGGGTCAACTTCAGCACCCAAATAAACGTAATAAAGGCGCTCGTCGTGCCTTTTTAATGTGCTGTTTTAACTTCCTCCACGCGTTCGCTTAGTTGGGGCACAGAGCGAAAAACGGCGTCTGTAAGAGGCTAGTGCTGTTTTAGATTTGGTACCGTTTTGGAGTAAAAATGAACTGGGAAAACGTGCCCTCCAGGGATTCATTTTGAAAATTACCTACGAGCACCCCGTGGCTTGTTTTTCTCGAAGTTTCTTTCTTAATTGCATAACTTAATTCGTGTTTGTTATGTTGATAGCGTTTCTTTCTTGTGAAAGAAGTGATTGGACGAAGTAAATGAAACTAAACTCCACTTTCAGATCAGCTTTCAGATCATCCATATAAGTACATAATAATTAAAATTGGGCAATCCGTATACGCGAAGCTTTGCGCGGCACTCGCTTCACTAATGAGACGTGACTGTTTGTAGCTGTGTGTGTCATTTACGTTCGTTCTTACGTATTAATAAAGTACTTCATTCATTTGCTGAAATAGATCTTATCCATGAGTTTGCCCAATGCAAGGTTTCATGGCTAACCTGTGTGTTTCTTGCACTTCAAACAAAGGATCAAGTTTTCGCCCATCTAATGAATCGGTGACTGATACGGAGACTGATATTTTTACAGTTTCTATCTAACTTAGATTTCTCACCAGGGCTATTTTTTTAAGCCACCTTGTTTAACAGCTCTGCTGACCCAAAGCCAAAACTTGCCTATTTGCCAGTCTTCTTAATTTTTTTTTTTTTCTCTTTATTAATACCCCTACAGCTACATGTTCCGAGAAATAAAATACTTACAGGCAATTCAAATGGGACACGATATTACACTCAAACGTTTTTAACTACTGTATACCGTCTTCATCAAGATGGGGCTTTCATTATTTAAAAACATTGCAAGAGACATTATGTTAAGGGCTGCCGTAAATTACTCAAGCAAATCTGTTTAGCAAAAATTACCAATTGACAGAAAAACAAGGATATTACAAGGACCGCGGCCTCCGCAAGGATCGTCGCCATATTGTCTGGCACTAAGGGCTAATACTTAATCGATGAACTTGGCGTTAGAGTCTATGTTATTCAAGCTTCGTGTAGCTTGAAGGAAAGGACGAAACTGGTAGTCTAGCCTGGGGCGGTGTCATGAATAGTTTATTCGTTCGGAAACGGAAAAAAGCCACTTAAAAGCAAGTATTTATAAGTATGCAAAGGGAAGCTGTCATCCGTGTCAAAGTGCTTTCAATCAGGATAAGTTTGTAAACTGTGTTTTCAAAACTTATGAGTATACAAATAAACCTTTCAGTAGAGTATATTTTAAATGTATTCAATTCTAAATATGTGCATTTGAAAGGATAGAATTCTGATATTGTGTGTATGTTGTAACAATATAACTGCATTTCGCTGAGCTAGCACATTAAGGCTTTTGTTAAATTTGCATATAACAGTAGCTTAAATCTTCGAATAATCAGGTGTTGATCACGTGATTAGCGCCAAACAACGGCAAGTTACAAACCAGTGTTATTGGAAAAGTTTTTATAAGAATTTCAGTAACTACAATAGTAGATTCTTTTTAAACGGGTTCATGCATGTATTATGTACTATAGTATTATCTAGCTCTCAAAGCAATTTCCGGTTTGCGCATTTTAGTACGTACTTGCTTACAACTGATTATCTTTCGTCGTGCAACAAAGAAATTCCAAATTGCGAGCTGCACTTGCATCTATGCAACCCAACAAAGCTGTCTTTCTTAGTTGGTATTCTCTGCTCCAGTCGCAAGCCATTGTAGGTCCACAATAATACATTCAAACCTAGTGTTTTAAAATCACTTTTAATAGCGAAATTCTTGTGCCTCTGCAGAAGGCAACAGTTAAGATATGCACCCTCATATTGTTCATCACAGTGGACAGAAATCGTTGAAATAAAGCACGTTTGCCGAGCTGTAGCTCCACGGGATTACCAAAGCTATTTTGCTGTAAAAGGTCAGGTTGTCTCGCTATGGTAACTACTTCAACACAAGCTTTTACTCAACAAAAACAATTTCTTCTCAGCATGAGTTTCTAGACTGTATTTTCAAAAATTGTGAGTATCCAAATACACCATTGAGTAGATTACATTTCAAATGTATTAAATTCTAAATATGTCCCTTTGAAAGGATAGAATTCTAATCAGTGTCACCATATAACTGCGTTTCGCTGAAATAGCACATTAAGGCTTTTGTTAAATTTGCGTACAAGAGTAGGTTAAATCTTCGAATAATCAGGTGCTGTTCACGTGATTAGCACGAAACAACTGCAAGTTGCAAACCAGTGTTATTNTCATATCATGTAACTTATAAAAAATATCTCAGTCCTGAATTATTGTGGTGCGCGTCGTCTTCACCCACCATTGATATTTCTTTTATAACCGGAGAGGCCCTATTAGCGGCTGTTTCGAGAGACGGGATCTTAAGCAAAAAAAAAAAAAAAAAAAAGGATACTACAAGGACCGCAGCCTTTCATTGGAAGCATCGACGCCATCTTGCCTGGCACTACGGGATAATACTAACGCGAGAAACTTGGCTAAAGAATTCATATTATCCAAGCTTCAGGTAGCTTGAAGGACATAACTAAACTGGTACGTACACTAGCCTACGGCGGATTCATGAATAATTTTTTTGTTTGGAAAAGAGATTAAAAAAAAACACCTAAAAGCAGCTATTTATAAGTATACAAAGGGAAAGCTGTCATCTATGTCAAAGTGCTGTCGATCAGGATGAGTTTGTAAACTATGTTTTCAAAAATTGGGAGTATATCAATAAACCATTGAGTAGATTACGTTTTAAATTAGTTTAATTCTAAATATGTGACTTTAAAAGAAGAGAATTTTGATTTGGTGTGGATGTTGTAATCATATAACTGCGTTTCGCTGAGATAGCACATTAAGGCTTTTGTTAAATTTGCATATAACATTAGCTTAATCTTTGAATAATCAGGTCCTGATCACGTGATTATCGCAAAACAACTGCAAGTTACAAACCAGTGTCGTTGGAAAAGTTGTCATAGCAATTTCAGTACGTACTATACTGGATTCTTTTTAAACGGGTTCATGCATGTATTATGATTGTACAATATTAGTATATAGCCCTCAAAACAATTTCCGGTCTGCGCATTTTAGCACTTGCTTACAACTGATTCAGTATCTTTCGTCATGCTACAGAGAAATTCCAAATTGCGAGCAGCACTTGCATCTATGCAACCCAACAAAGATGTCTTTCTTAGCTGGTATTCTCTGCTCCATTTGCAACCTATTGCAGGTGCACAATGACTTAATCAAACCTGTTTTAAATTAACTTCTCAATAGCGAAATTCTTGTGCCTCTCGGGAAGGCAACAATCTAGATATGCACCATCGTATTATTCATCACAGAGGAGCCGACAGAAAAATTCATTTGCTTTATAATGGACCACATGACTTTCAGCGCTAAAATTGCTAACCTGGCATTCAATGGCGTGCACTGCCTCAGAGAAAATACTGAAAGAAAAAGACTTCTTTTTGAAATCACTCAGTTTATAACGATGACAGAGCAGGCAATCAGCCTAAAAAAACCTCGGCTGTTAATTAAGTTAAGTTAACAACGGTCATGTTTGAAATCAATTTCTTTACAAATATCAAACCTTGAAAATGTCGCTAAAATATTCCTTAGTCTTTACTTCTACTTCACGCTGCATCTCAACTGCATAGCGATCGTGGAAATACAGCCGTAGGCCCATGGCATTATTTTCTCAATGGTATAAAGGCATATTTGCTGCACAACGTCAGGCTGTTTCGCTAGGGCAATGAAACCAACTTCTGAGTGTTATTTATATTTTCCTTACCTGCAATTTACCGACAGGAGGTCTGTTGCAACAAAATTTCTTCTTAGCAGAAATACTTCATTGTTGGGATGCAACTAATTTTCAAGCGTGTAAAGCTTGAATACAATGGCTTGATTAATACACACTATATGCGTACAGGACATCGAACTACTTCAACAGAAGCCTCTACTTAACGAAAGCAACTTGTTCTCAATTTACTGTAATTCATTTAATGCACTAGACAGATCTCTTTAGCTTATGCGCAGGAATATAATCTAAACAATCGCTCTTTCTGCTATTTCGTTTGCCATTAATTAACTTTCTGTGTTTCTTAGCATCAGGTCGCCTTGATGTCTTATTGATGACCACAAGAATGATTTTGGCCACTGAGGAGGGGAGGGTGGGGGCGCTCCCAAATAGAAGTAATTAAGGTTCTCATCGTACCTTTTTTATGTGCTGTTCAGGGGTTCAGTTAGTTGGGGCGCAGCGCGAAAAACCGCATCTGGAAGAAGCTAGTGCTGTTTTAGGTTTGGTATCTTTTAGGAGTGAAAATGAACTGGGAAGACGTGCCCTCCGGGATTCATTTTGAAAATTACCTACAAGCACCCTCTGGCTTGTTTTTCCCGAAATTTCTTTCGTACTGTCTTCTGTAACTTATATCCGTGTTTGTTATGTTCATAGCACTTCTTTTTTGTGGAAGAAGAGATTGGATGAAGTAAATGAAACTGAAATCAACTGTCAGATCAGCCTTCAGATCATCCACAGATACATGATAATTACAGTAAGGATAGGTCTTTGAAATTACACAAGTTTGGGCATTCCTTATGCGCGAAACTTTGCGCAGCACTCGCTTCACTTATGAGACGTGGCTATTAATAGATGTGTGCGTCCTCAGTTTATTGCGTTCGCCGTTACGTTTATTTAATCATTGCTCTCTTTTTTCTGTACTAGTTGCAAACGTTTCTTGTTCTGATTGTAGAAGACGTTTAGAACATCATCAGACAGAGCCATACTTCTGAGTGACCTGCGGATTTAGCGCGATTACGACACAAGTCAAGTATTGCATTTGCCCCTCAGTTAGGGTTCTTGCAAGAAACTGATTTGGATCGTGTTTCTTTTCGGTAAGGTTTGTTTTCATGTGTGAAATGGCTCTGCACTGTGCGCATTACAAGTCGTTTGTTAGCACTTTGGTTTTGTTTTGTTTCGTTTTTAAATCTCATGATCTCAAGCAGGGACTTGACTGGTTCTGGTAGCTATGAGTGTCATCCGGTGGTCGATTCCTACGCTATTCATCTTGGCGCTGATTTATGGGCAAAGTGTAAACGTCTATGGAGGTAAAATGATATAGAGGATATGGTGACACTAATTATGGCCATTTCCCTGCTAAATTGCAATGGTATTTAGAGATTAAGACTAGGTTTACACTAGACTGAGGAAACTGTTTCGGATTTGTGACGAATCCGGAACTTCTTAGTATCGGATTGGTTTTGCCGTTCACACACAATTACACAAATCCGAAATAAAAACTCCCCGGTTTGGTCATGTCTCCGGAGATTTTGAATCCAGAATTTAATGTGGGAACTTTTAATCCGAAATTTTTTTAATCCGGTCGTGTAAACGGTTTTCTCTCGAATCCGGATATGTTTCCGCCTACGATCTTTTCAGTTTGCGGCAGAACCAAAATGGCGAATCTAGTAATGGAAATTGTAATGGAGTCGACGGAGTTATAGTCGTAGTCAGATCGATGGCCATTGATGGCCATCTTTTATAACTGGTAAATGATGTTCGTCAGAAACCAGAACTATCGACGCGAACAATGTTGACGACCGACCTCCACACTTTATCGGAGATGACGATGGCACGATCGATCGAAAACTTCGACGATTCAGGATAAGACCAGGGCAAATGCCTGGTGGGACAACATGATGGGCAACAACAGCGTGGTAAGCGAGTGGAAAGAAAACTTCAGACTGCCTCAACCTAACCCTAGCCTTTCTTTGGCGTCATTTTGTTTCTTGTTGTCGAAGCAACAAACAGCTAGTTAACAATTTCATCGCGAATGTTCCCGGAGTTTTCGTCGTGTGTAAACGGTTAGGAATGCGTACATCCTTTCAGTATAAACGCCTACCAATCCAAATACTCTAAAATTGATGAATCCGGAAACATTTACGAATCCGGAAAAAATCTCCTCTAGTGTAAACCTAGTCTAAATTTCTGTCTGTCTGCAACACAGTCTTTAAGTGCCACTAACCCAAAAAAGTTTTTTCGCTAATATAAATTTCCTTTTTCTCCTGATCAGCGCTGTGAAAAAAATTATTGTTGTAGCTATTTTCGTTAATTTGTATCAATTTTTAAAGTTTGTAAATTTGCCCTTTTCCATTGAATGGGACGAGTTGGCTTCTGACGTCATTTCGGGAATAACAACATTTTGCTTCTGAGAAGAATATGTGCGAGTATGCGATAGTGTGTGTCAAAATCGTTGCAGAATGCAAGGTAGATATGTTGCTGGAGACTGTAGCAGTACAGGATGCGTAGAATCGAGTATTCCTCTTCACTCAATACCTCTATCTTGATGAAACTCGACCAGAAACGAGAACAAGACCAAAGAAGTGGGCTGATCTGTGCGAAGCTAAAGCCAGGGAGCCTTCGAGGATTTCTTCGATCTCGGGTTCGCCGCCACTGTAAAAACCTAGAGATTTTCATGGCCTGTATATTCTTCTCTATCTCTAGTGAAAAGCTTGAAATTGTCAAGGTACTGCCTAAGACACGAATTTGGGATAAGCTGGAAGCCATCTGACTATTTCGAGCGCAAACGATCCTCCGAGTCCCAGACGAAAGTATAGGTGAGGAAATTACACGGTAAATTAAACGCATTGCGTTTTTTTTTT